TGGGCCACACAATTCACCTAGTGTCGATTGGTCTGTAAAATAAGGGTGCTCTCCCCATATGCCCGATGGCCTTAAGGCGTGAAAAGGGATCTTTACTTTTACTTGTACTATATCATAGGAAGACAGAAGCAGTAACACACTGTGACCACTTGAAAGATTTGTGAAAAGACAGACAATCAGAGGAATACAACAAAACAAGATTATTGATAGACTTTTCTCATGCCATGGGGTGGTATCGGTAGACGAATTATACATGCTTTTGAAGATTGCAGTATGAGGAAAGGCATGATCGTTTAAGCCAGTGGTCAAGGCACTTGATGATGTTTATGATCATATTGAAATTGTGCTGCACACAACAGGCACATATTGTTTATTCCCCCCCCCGCCCCACTTTCTTTCCCAGCTCCCCCCCCCTCCCCCGCCCATTTTTTGCCTATGAAGGCAATCTTAAATGCTGACACTCAGTGACTGAAAGAGCCACTTTTAAGATGAGAAACAATTAGCAGCACAACTGCAATACCCTATACAACCATACACAGTTTTAGTTTTGAGGTGCCGTTCATTTCCCACAGTACCTGCTGTCCAATGTACGTTTTCTCTAGCTTGTGACAATCCGCATCACTGCCCACGGGGCATTCTTATCCCTGCTCAGTCCTCCAATGCAGCAACCAGCCCAACGTACCCTCTGATGAGTGTTCCCAAGAGGAGTTGGTTATCTAGGCCATGTAGGTATTACAGACGTGCTCCATAATGCTTTACTCGCAGGTCACGCAATCGTGTTGGTGTAAAAGATTCAACATTATCCAGTAACCTAGTTTGTGTCCAAATTCTTCCCGCAAGCGTGAATGCATTGCTTGCGAGTTGGTCCGCTCGTTCATTACCTTCTATGCCTGTGTGGCCAAGTGTGTAGATCCCGGTGAGGGAGGTTAAGTGCTAGTTTCATATGCTTTTTACTCACACAGAGCGCATGCGTTGTTTTATTAATTAACTAACCAAATTATAAACGTGTAAGCACGCACGTATATGTGTGCGTATTGTCTCTGGTGTGTGCGTTGGGGCTTGTCTATCATCATGATTTCAACAGACCATTTTATATCAAAATTATGAGCGGCTGGCCAAGAACGCTGGAATCCTCAGTAAATTGATGAATTTATCTTCTGTCCGACGGCAAAAATAAATTTCCAGCCTGCACTGCCCGTGAAGTCTGCACTAGCCTTTTGGCCCTAGATCCTCAATCCCAAGGACTCCCACCCAAACCCCCTCCCCCACATCCATTTTTCATCCACCCCCAACTCTCCCCCCCCCCCCAAACCCTAGTTTCTACATCATCATCAAGGAGCTTTCTGACAACCATCGATCTTCAGCAGCTTGTGCTGACACCCCCTGTACATCTGCCTGAGAGGTAAGAACTCATCAGTCTGCTCACAAATAAAGCGAGAAATATGAAAAAGACGTGCTTGCAGCACTCACCCCCCCCCCCCCCCCCCCCCTTTTTTCCTTTCCCACCATACCATGAAAAATAGGCTATCAAGAATCCACTCATGTACAGCAAATCAGATATGTATGTGTGACTGTCTGATTTATTTCGTCATATTATTTTTACATTGCTTTCAATTTCATTGTCTACCATATAAGGTATGTACCTGTGTTTGAGCTAATTCTATCTTTTATGTGATCCTAAAATACCTTTCTGTTTCATTGTACACTTTTTAAGGTATGTACGTGTATTGGAGTTGGTTATTTCTTTGCATAATCAAAACATACCTCTCTGTCTTTCTATTTATACATTGTAAGGTATATTAGCATGCATGTTTCTCAGCTAAATCATAATCACTTTTTTTAAAAACAATAAAAATTTCGGTATAAGCCCTCAGGATTAGCAACAATAAGGTTTGACAGCCAGTGACTCGAGCAGTCGCTATTCCGATACTACTAAAATCAGTGCAAGACTCAGACACCTGTTCAACTATTTAAAACAGTTGTATCTGGGGCACCTTTAGAGCCTTGAGTAACCTGTTGTCCTGCGTCAATGACAAACACATTATTTTATTTATTTATTTATTTATTTTCAATTTTTCCTCCTATGACAACATTTTGACAGAGTGACAGCTAGTGACTCGAATAACCTTATGCGGGTGAGAATCCAGCAGGGGCGAAATCTCATGAGCCCCGTTCAACTGGATAATAGTTAGATTGGAGCATCTGTAGGAGCCGAATGTTTGCATCTTTCTTTTGCATCGACTGTTGGTGAACTCCATCTGAAAGTTCTCGCTGATCTTTCCATTCTGGACTTTAGTCTTGTTCCACAGCGTGAGTGTTTGCATGCACGTCAGTTTGTTATCTATCGCTTATTTGTGTGCAGGCTGTTGGGTTCTCCCTTTCAGGCAGATGTAGCCCACAGTCGAAGGAAACACACTTAATCTAGTCATCTTTTTCGATGTTCTTATTAATGGACAGTGCGCTTATTCTCACTACCCTCCCCTTTTCCTTCCCAAATGGGGAACCCACACGCGGAGGTGATTTTGGCAAATTTGCCATTTTGAATTATTTCATACTAAAATAACTGACTCATATTTTACTCCACCAGGACATCACACAGAGAGATAAAAACCCGGTGACACAAAGTACCACCCTGCGGACGAGGATCACACGTGGAGAGGTCCCGGAAATCCCGTTTAGCTGTTAGGCCATATTTATGGCCCGGCTATATTTAAGGCTCCCGGCACAAGGTGGGGCTTCAAAATAACCTACTACAATAGTCGCAGTTCCGTCAGATTGCTAATAGCTAGAAAGTGAGTTTTGCATTCATGATGTCCATACAGTATACACAAACAGCATACAGTATATATCAGTGTGTTATCATTGGCGATACAATTTTATGAGAGTCCCCGTTGGATCCAGAGAAAGGCCTGAAAAGGTGTGGGTACAAGTTAAATACAGAGTTCGCGCCTTCGTGGCTCGGTGATAGGTCACTGTCCATTTTCCTATGAACGGCTGAGGAGGACAAGGGTGAGGATTTAGCACAGAGCTGTCCAAATCCGGGTATGACAAAACTAGGGGTAGAGAGTGGATTGGCGAGGCTGGCGTATGGTGAGTGGTGGAGTTGTCTGAGGTGGCTAGATACTGCAGAAGATCTAGAAGAATCTGGAGGCGATCTGGACATTGACGCAGAAGATACTGCTGCTGCTGCTGCGGCGGCTGCTGATAAAGCTGCTGACTGAGAAGTCATGCTGTGAAGCAAATATTTATCAATTCCGGGAGGTCTGATAATCGCTCCGTTACTACTGTCGATGTAACCTGTAGGGGGAAGTAAGTTTTGTCCAAGGTAGGAATACACCCCAGGGTGTTTCATAATTCCTGGTAAGGAATAAAATGATGAAAACGACAGATGTGCAGGGAGCCCTTCTCTGATGAAGTTTGGGAATCCAAGATAAGGAAATCCCGCTCGCCCGAAAGCCAGTCGACTTCTGGCGGAGTGTGACGAACGTCTACGAAGTTTGCCGGTGGTTCCGCCGATAAACACGTCATCGCAGGATGGATCAAGCATCCAGTAGTTTCCTTTGCCTGGGTCGTCGTAGTGCCGTGGTACCTGCGCGGGAAAAATAGAGAGACGATAAAATACAAATTACCGGAGATAACCGTAGTGTAACGCTAATAGTGAATTAATACGTAAGGTTGTATTAGTGTACAAAGTCTCTTTGCCATCTGACATTCAACCATCGTACCCTAGACATTCCAGTCTATTAGCCCGTATTTTGCCAGTGAAAAAAGGTATTTTAAACAGATTATTAATTTTGTTGTTGCTTCTCACCTTCCAGTCCCTGCTGTCTACGTCTTTGATTAGTCCAAAGATTAGTCGTAAGACTCTGTTTTGATACATTTGTAATACGTTTTCTTCTCTCTTAGTTATCTTTTCTCCAGGCCAAGCCAGTGTACTGGGTAATGAATATGCAGATTGATTTGCTGGACCTGCATACTGGGTGGTGAATTGATACATGAAGGCAGATGTGCTCAGGGCCCTTTGGAACAAGCAACAGAATCAGTAGAGAAACAAGATTATTACGGCCTAGAGAGAATAAGGCATCTGGGTGTAACCAAAGGGTCTGGCAAGACATACATATAACCAGATTGTGACCAGTACCATCAGTATTTGAACTCTGCTCTGGTGCTGAAGATAAGGACTGAGCACGCATGGGAGTTCCTCAGGTGCTGTGATATCAATTCTTGACTCAACTCAACTCAACTCATTAGTTCTCTTAGTTAAGATCCAAGTGTCCGAACCATTAAAAAAAGAGCCGCCAACTCAACCATCCGAGACCAAGTTAGAAATTATATTATCAGACAGACTGTAGGAACAACACCAAGCAGAAAATTTATTGAGAAACAGAAGCTCAAATGGTTTGGTCATTTAGTAAGAATGCAGCCAGAACAACAACCAACACAGGTGCTGCACATGAAACGATCTAAATTGGAAGTAAGAGGCGTCCTAGGAGAATGTGGACTGATAACATTAAAGAGCTTCAACATAGACACGGAATGACAATAGCCAATGCTGCCCATCAAGTGATGGATCGTAAACTATTCCTCCCCACAACGCTTAACGGCAGATGTGGAAATTGACGATGATGATAAAACAATATATCAATTTCTAAGTTTCAACAGTTGCTGTATACACGCAGTGTAGTGGACTCAGGTTGGAACGCTCAGTGACTTAACTACATTTACACGACACTAATGAAACGTTGCACTCCCTTTCCTTGGTAAAGCAGTGTGGCGTAGAAATAAGACGCTCGCCTCAGGATCCAAAGAGCAAAGGTTCAGATCTTAGACTTTTCATGCTTTTGTGATTTTTATTTGTCTTTTAATATTCATAAAATGCATATTATTGTATCAACATAACATGCCTTACTAATCAATTACAGCTACTGTGTGAAAGACGGGTGTTTCGAAGGGCCGAATGTGAGACGGAACCGCGTGCCCATTCTGTTACGCTTTTAAAATAAAGTTCGCTGGTTAGTTCCTGCCCAAATTTTCTATTGATAAACGCTGTTTTTTTTTCGACTAATACGCCGCTTCTAAGCCCCTCGAACCTCTTCTCCCATACCCCAGGTGACTGTCTCATTGTTTTGACCAGCAGCTTTCCACCTTTCCAGACAATAGTGTTATATTATTCCTAAGAGGAAGCATGGGACTCACCGTCGACACCGCCTCATGGCGAAATATTAAAAATATTAATATCAAGAGGAAAATAAATCACAAAGAACGAGCTTCGTAATGCCGGAGTGTCGGGTTCGATCCCAGCTGCGGGCCTTGTGCCTTGCGTTGGTTTCGACAGTGGTATCGAGAAGCTGACCGCCCAGAAAGCAATGGCAAACTACTGGACGTAAATATGGCCAGATAAAACACACCACACACAACAGCCAAAAAATGCTGAGGTTGGTTCTGCAATGTCCGGTAAAGGATACGCAACTAACTTTTAAAAAGTAATGAAGGTAAAGTAGCGTAAAGTAAAGAAAAACCATTAAAGCAACCTATTCCGTCTGCAATGTGAACTAAAATAATAATCTTCTTCTTCTTTGCCATCACCAGCTGTAAGCTCAGGCGGTAAACTGATATTGTTCATCCACTTCTGGACTTTCGTCTCGTTCCAGAACTTGAGTGTTGCGTACACATGTTTTGTACAGATCTGGGTTTTTTTTTTTTTTTTAAGCAGATGCTTGGTTCCTCCCCTCTCAAGTAAATACACTCCGGCTTCAGAGACGCATCCCTAATCAGTCGCCTTTTACGACATGCTTTTAGAGGGCAGTTGATCTACCCCTACCCTCCCTTCACCCACCATCCAAATGGCCCCCAAAACCCAAAAACCATAAGGAGAATAATAAAAGTAAATAACAATGAAAGTAAATAAAGTACAAAAACATAAAGACATGATCGCTTTCAGAAAAGCGATCATGTCTGACATTGATAGCAAAGAGTCTGTAAGAATATTTAATGTATTTTCAAAGGCATAAACACAAATCTAAAATGTAAATAATAATAAACGTCGAATTAGGTAAAATGAGTGTAGAGAAACGAATCATAAAAGTAAAGAATTATAAAGTAAAGTATAATTAAAAACTAAACTATCACAAAGTAGAGTAAAATGTAATGAAAGTAAAGTTTAATGAAAGTTAAGACTACGGCTGGCTGACAGGTAAAGACAACATCTTTTGGATGTGCAGAATGGTGCCCTGAAACCAGTACCGTTGCACTTCAATTTCAAGGATCACCAAGGTGTCCTCGACATGGAGGTGACAGCTATTAAATCTAGCCACTTCAGCGACAGAGTCCGCAAGTCTCTTGAAAATCGTTTTATTTACACTTTGGGAATTTTTAACACCCAAATGACTGAAATGCCAACACGGTTTCATTTAATCTTCTAGAGGATTAAACTGACCCCATACTTTTATCACAAACCCACCAGTTATGACCCTTGCACTTCACATGGGGGTATTTATTCCCCCGGACCACGTGTCACAGCAGTCTGCTGAGAAATCATCGACACGGCTGCTTCGAGATACCAGCTAAGTGATTTTGTGTAATTGTGTAGTATTGTTTGATTTGTGTATGTGCTGATAAAGGCTCCATAGCCGCAACGTTCATGTTTTGTTAGTATTTGTTAAAATGAGAAACTTGCTAAAATACTTTTCGTTTAGTTTTAATTCTTTTCTTTAAAGTAAAGTAGAGGAATGTAAAGGATAGCAAAGCAAACTAAACAAAGGCAAAGTATTTTAAAGCAAAGTCAAAACAAATATAGTATTTCCAAAAAGAAAAACAATCAAAGAACAGTAGACAGCAGTCAAAGCAAAGACGTGTAAAATACAAGGAAAAAGCCAACGAGAACCTGGTCTCAGTTGCATTCGAAGACAAATGATGTATTGAGCCAACCGTAAGCTCGGTGACGGCCTATGCTGCAAAACAGGATTACGGAAAACAGAAAAAGTTATATGGAAAGCGAAAATTGACCCACTGCCTACCCAAAGGAATGCTATAAGAGTCTACTAATTGTGAGCTTCTTTCGAAGTTGGAGTGCGTTTGCCTGAAAGGCAAGTAAACAACAGTCTGCATACACATGAGTCTGACGTGTAAAACGGATGCACACTCAATACTAAGGTTCTGGAACTTTCCACCAGAGTTTACAGCTGGTGAATGCGAAGAAGAAGCAGAAGAAGAAGAAGAAGAAGAAGAAGAAGAAGAAGAAGAAGAAGAAGAAGAAGAAGAAGAAGAAGAAGAAAAAGAAGAAGAAGAAGAAGAAGAAGAAGAAGAAAGAAGAAGAAGAAGAAGAAGAAGAAGAAAGAAGAAGAAGAAGAAGAAGAAGAAGAAGAAGAAGAAGAAGAAGAAGAAGAAGAAGAAAGAAGAAGAAGAAGAAGAAGAAGAAGAAGAAGAAGAAGAAGAAGAAGAAGAAGAAGAGGAAGAGAAGGAAAAGAAGAAAAAGAAGAAGAAGAAGAAGAAGAAGAAGAAGAAGAAGAAGAAGAAGAAGAAGAAGAAGAAGAAGAAGAAGAAGAAGAAGAAGAAGAAGAAGAAAGAAGAAGAAAGAAGAAGAAGAAGAAGAAGAAGAAGAAAAGAAGAAGAAGAAGATTCTAAGACAAGAGAAAGAAGAAGAAGAAGAATAAGAAGAAGAAAGAAGAAGAAGAAGAAGAAGAAGAAGAATCAACTAGAAGAAGAACTGTAAAAGAAGAAGAAGAAGAAGAAGAAGAAGAAGAAGAAGAAGAAGAAGAAGAAGAAGAAGAAGAAGAAGAAGAAGAAGAAGAAGAAGAAGAAGAAGAAGAAGAAGAAGAAGAAGAAGAAGAAGAAGAAGAAGAAGAAGAAGAAGAAGAAGAAGAAGAATTTAGTAATTTAAATTCAACATTCTAAGACAAAGTAATGTAAAGTATTGTAATACAAAAACACTAGAAACAAAATTGAAATTTTAAAAATCAACTAAAATGCACTGTAAAACGATGTTGGGGGGTTGGGGGGGGGGCTGGGGCGGTGCGGGGTTTGGTTAACTAATAAGTTAAAACATAACACTGTAAAGTAAAATAACAATATATTTAAATATAATATTGTGAACAAACTATAGAAAAAATTTAATAAATTGAATATACAAATTAAATACAAAGTAAAATCAATTAAACTATAGAATTGTAAGGCAAAGTGAAGTAAAATAAACAACTTAATACAAAGTAACGTAATTAAAATTATATATATATATATATATATATATATATATATATATATATATATATATATATTATATATATATATATATATACACTTCAATGCAAATGAAAGAAGTAAAATATAATAATATCAAGCAAATACGGAGCCGACAAGTCACGAATCAAAAAACAAAGTGAGGTCGACATGCCTGCTAGAGTTAGATTACGCGCTGCGACTGACAGTAGCGACCGCGGTCTTGCAACGCAAGACTTAGTGACCGTACATGTGAGACCTGCGGATCTGTGTCGTAATGAGCGATAATCTTTCGTCGTGTCCGTGATGTGTCACCCTAACTCTACCCCAAACTCTACCCCAAACCCTAACCCTACCCCAAGCCCTAACCATACC